TCCCCTGAATGGGTCCCTGAAAGATAGCATGGATCTCAAGCTTATGAACACAAGGACGAAGGAGAAGAATATGTGGGTTGTGTTTTTTCCTCTTAATAGATCAGTAGACTTGATGATCTTTGCAAGTCCCTTCCAATCGAACAATTCTGAATAATTTGTTAAGCTGAAACATGAGAGATTCTCATGATATATTAGGATCATTTCTCTTTTATTTTTCAGCAAGGGTGTGACCAAATAGTGTAAGAGGAACTCAGAGAGGTTTTTACAGTCTCTGTCCTTGGAGATAATCAAAAGTAATTAGGTGGGGCACTAAAAAACCTGCTCTAATTGGGCTGGTTTTGGGCAGGGGTCTGACTAGGTGACCTCTGGTGGTTCTATGAAGTTTACTCAAAATAGAACCAAGTTTTTGTGGCAAGGAAAACAAAAAGACTTTGATGCATGTTTCACAAGTTGTGGGCAAGACTTCAGCTGGTACTTAGCTTTTGCACTATGCTGTTTGTACTGTATGTATGTTGTGTAGGAATATGATTCCTCGAATGTACCTGCGCAAGGGGACAGGCATCGCATAGGTCATTCTACCAATTGTGTTATGCCTGTGAGCTTTGCGTTTTTGGACCAAAGCCTGACTCCATCACTCGTATACACCTGGGTCACTGTAACACTACCAAACGCAGGCTTTGCCCTGCCAGCCTTTGAGTACTGGTTTCTCAGCGGTAACTATGCTATCATTCTCTCTATAAAGAGCTATGCATGTTTGTTACATTCCTTGGTGTTGCTCAGTTGTGATGTTTCATCAGTGGTTGATAGTGGGCTCTGGCATCTCATCCTGCCTGCTGACTAGGAGCAATGTGCACACTAGGCAGCCATTAACTCTTCCTCGCAAGTCAGAAGGACATCTGCAGTGTCTGAGAGAGCTTCTCCATAAGACTCGAACGCAGCAACACAACTGCCAACTCATGTGGTCGTTCAGGATGTGGTGGTGATGGAAAGTTTCTGTTTGCAGGATTGTGATCTGTGACATATTTCAAATGACGGAGATGCAATTCCAGTAATTCAGGGATGTACTGACACACCAACTGTTCGTACTGTTCTCCTTCGTTTTATTACCAGAATTCTTGAATTTAATTATAGCTTCCCACCTTGTTGTTCCCTGCTGTTTGTTCTTTGTGCAAACTGTATATGTCATCATGGTCTAAGCTATTTTTGGCACAGCATTAATCTTTCTGTACAGTGACCCTGCCCTGTTCTGTTTCCTCTCTGAAAGCTGATGAGGAGCTTGTTGGCTTTGTGCTCTGAAGCGCTGACTCCAGCTCTCTGAACACACGAGTGTGAGGGTTACACGGGGATTTCTGGCGACCTGCTGGGCCTCAGTTATTTTGTTTATGGTGGAGAGGCTGAAAATCTCCAGGCAGTGTAATTGGTCTGACAGCCACTTCCACAGTGTCTGCATATCACAAAGAAAAGTGCTGTCAAACAGCACTGCCATGAGGGATATTAATGACAAAGTTTGGATGAATGGGGCTTTGGATATGTGTAGTCTGATGACTAAGGAGAGGCTGTGGTGCATATGCATTTGTAATGCCTTTGCATTGACTGTGGTGGAGTGCTCTTTTGGCAACGTATCAGCAGTGAAGCAATATCTGTGTTGTAGTGAGGTAAGCAACGTTTCTCGGTCTAGCACGAGATGCTGAAATAAATTGGTTCTCAGCTTGCTGCTGCTTGTTGTGTTGCATCCAATTTTCTGCTTTGTGCTTTCTCATTTCACATTTGTAATTGTTCATTCTGCACCTGGAAAAATCTTGCCTCCATTAATGAGGATTGTTCCAGTGTAGATAACAGGATGTTCTGCCAGAATTTGCATTCTCTACTTTCATAGTTCTTAATGAATTCTTTTAATCATGTTAATGACAAATGCCTAATCATTAAACACTTTGATATTACAATGTCAAATAGCAAAAGAAGAGTCAAGATAGGTGCGATTATTAAGTTGCTGTAGTTGTACTGGCTCTAGGACATATGGAAAGTGTCATTTCTTAAACTGATCGTTTTAGCTGGAAAAAGTCCAAGAGGTAAAAAGCACTCTTCAGGCTTTGAAAAGATCCATGGATTGATTACTGGTCACGGAGATGGCGATCAAGGAAGGAATGCAGATGCCGATGGCTGACCTGGAGTGTGGATACAACATAGCAGATAGGAAATGAAAAACAAATCCATCTCCATCTCAAGAGAGCTTAGGTTTGATAACTCCTTTGAAACTCACAGCTCTCCTCTGCAGACATTGATTAAACAAAGTCCCCAGCAGTGTTTCAGTACAGTTTAACGGAATTTGTAAGAGAACAATTGAGATCATCTTATTTTGCAATCCCACCATCTTGTGGCAGTCTGTGGCATTGCCTTAGCATTTGGTCTAAGCACATTAATTTGAAAGATAGCAAGTGTGTCCCCGTCTGCTAACGGCTACCTCAGCTCAGAAAACACCTTTCTGTGGACTCAGATATGTATTTCAGGACCTTACTTTGAGTATGTGAGTCTTTCTATATTTTTCTTGCTCCTTGGCACCCTGTCTTTCATTTCTCTTCCTGTTCCTCTTCAGCAGAACCAAAGCTTTTAACGCATAATGGACCTGATCCTTCAGGATGTTACTGTATACGTGCTTAATATTGAAAGAAGAAAAATCATAAATTGCCTCAGAGTTGGGGGTTTGGGGATTTATTTTTCCTTCTTCAACCTTTTTCCCATCTGCTGTGACCTTCAGGAGCAAGTATTTTCCTGCACACAAAGGGATCAGTGTATGTGTATGGATAAATTGTACACAGTTTTACGCAAGTAGTCCCCTGGAAACATGTGGGTCAGCAAGGCCTGAGGAGTTTCTTTTTTTAGTAAAAATAATAATGCAAATCTTGAGACTATATAAACGTAGAGCAGTCAGAGTTCAATTCTCTGCTTATTCAGTGCATGCTCCCTCTCATGCTGCAGTGTCGGGCTGTATTAGAGCTGCCAGCTCTAATGGAGAGAGTACCCGAGAAATCAGGATCTGTGCAGTGAGACCTCAGGTGGTTGTGCAATTGGTAAGAGGTTCTGTTGGCCAACATATCAAGAAGGGCTTTAATTCACATCTGGATAGAGGATAGGTAGAAAGCAAAGGATAAGGGCTGAACCTGAGCTAGCATTCAAAATTTCATAATATGGTGCAACTATCTCAAGTTTCATGTGTAATCCTTTTTCACGTGTATCCAAGAGGGGTAGAAACACAGGACTCCTGTTTTCAGTCCACACATGGTTAGGCTTGCAGTCTGGGTTTGCAACCCAGGGATTAGAATTTGCACCTTCTTTAAAAATGCAATTTTGAGTTAATGCTTTATTTATAAAGTTTCTCTAGAAAGCCCTTTCATACATGTTTTGGAATTTTTGTTGGCATATTTTTCATGGTTGAAATAACAGTGTTTTCTGAGAATTTTTTTCAGGGGTGGTGGTGGTGGTTAACATTTAAATATATACCGTGCTTATCGCCACTCTTCTTCTGTTCTGACTTAGATTGCACATACCTGACCATGTTAATCTAAGGTTGTTCCCATCATTCTTGTTAAGATTTAACTTAGTTAAAACTATTCTTGTTTTAACAGAGATCGTTCACTAATAATGATTAACATACTTCTAGCAAAGCTTAAGTACATCAAATACCAGTGGTTACCTCCAAGAGACTGCAAATTTAAAATAGTTTTAAGCATTAAGTCTTAGAAAAAGAGAAAACATGCTGATGCACACTGCACAAATGTCTTTGCATTACTATGTTACTTTTTTCTTCTGAAGTTAGCATCATCTAGAGTCTGTTTTTCAGACTTCTCAGAAGTCAAAGGGAAGGCTATCAGCTCGCAATACAACTCCTTATATGAATCAGGGAAAGCATGTAGAACATTCCAGTAAGGAAGGATTTTAAGAAGTCTCGAGCAGCTAAATCCAGAGGATTCAGAAGTAATACGGGCTTTCTTCACGCATTATTCTGTTTTCAGCTATTATTTTCATAGAAACACTCTTAAGTTTCTGTAACATAACTTTACACGCTATGGAAAGTCTTAAGAAAGTTTTATTGCATGTATAACTTGTGATATTATTCTTTGTCCCCATTTTTTGCTTTTAATATGCCTGATAATCAACTTGGGATGCCGCTGCAAATGCAGCAAAGAAAATATCTAAGTTTCCATAAATGGAACTACAAGAAAGCATTTGTTATAGTTTGACCCTTTGCCCTAAAATACTGCCTGCTGCTCTAAGTACTCAAACATTTCCTAAATTTGAGTGACTTACAGTGTTTTGCCTTATCCAGTACAAGATGGAGCTGAAATTCATTTCCTGGGATTGACAGTTATGTTTAATAAAGTTTTCTGTTTAAAAGTGTAGCTGAAAGGCAGAGTAGTAACAGAACCATAGAGTCACAGAATATCCCAAGTTGGAAGGAGCCCATGAGGATCATCAAGTCCAACTCCTAGTCATTTTGCAAGACCCCATAGGAAAAAGATGAATGTCAGGTTTGGATTGAAGACATGAAATATATGATCTCCATGCTTGCTTAATGCTTATATCAAAATAAATTATACAAGTGGGTACGTTTTGGGAGCGACAGCATATCTGAGAGGAGAGTAATTTAGTACAGTGTGTCAATACGATGTTAGGTTGCTGGCTTGGGTCCAGATGAAATGCACCATGTAGCTAAGAGATTTTGGATCTTTTCAATACCTATGTCTACAAATTGGGTCCTGTTTGTAATTATTTATAATAATGCACCAACACGGTTGACAAATTTACATTTGCAGGTATTCTTACAAGTTGCTTACAGAACAACAAAACTAAAAGCAGATTACAGAGATGATCTATAAATATACATAGTGTTGATAGTAAAATCTAGAATGACAATCAAGAAGCTAAGCAGAGGTTTTTAGCCTGTTATCTGCATAGTATCTTCCTAGTTTGCAGTAATGCCCTATTGTATTCCAACCCAACAGCAATACAGATGTGCACACGGTGGCATCACTACTCAAGCTGTACCTAAGGGAACTCCCAGAGCCAGTCATACCATATGCAAAATATGAAGATTTTCTTTCCTGTGCCAAAATGCTCAGCAAGGAAGAAGAAATGGTGAGTCTGCATGTTGCGTACGATGAATAAAAATATTGGTATGTTATAACCTGTTCCAGTTTTGAGGAATGGAGATGCAAGTAATTACATATCCTAATTTAAGTCTCGTTTGTATTAACTGAGGCTCTCTTTAAAGGAAAATAGTTGTTACCTATGTCAGGCTCAGCATAACCTTTGCTGTATTTGTTGCATATCATCAAATTCAGTCCAAATGAACATCTCTGTGGCCAGTAGCTTTCATTTTGCCTAGGAAACATTTTATCGTTTCGCGGATCATCATCCAGAGCTGAAATAGGGATGGTTTTAGTAGTTTCTATCCAATTTGTGCTGTTAAATCAGATGATTTTCTTCTAAGTGTTCTAGGATGCCACATTTCACTGACTTTAGACTGAAGACCACAGAGCTCTATTCATTGCCTATCACTGAATCAGAAGCAACAGAAAGATGTCTGGAAGTGGGCAACTATCCAAAACTTTTTAAAATTTGCATAACATAGGTGAATTTAGTATGGGTTCTGAGGTACATTAAGTGCCCTGCAATGGCAGAGGACTACCCTTGTATTAGTCTGAAGAAGTAATAAATGAAGCTTGATGTTTACACTGTTATGTGTGCTTATGGGTAATCAACTCAATACAGTGTTTTCCAAGTAAAAATAAAGAAGCTCATTCTTTTGATTGCAGTCTAGTCTTCTAAATTTCTAAGGTTATTATAACTGTTTAATTCCGTTTTGACTTTTCAAATCCTGCTAGAATTGGACCCTTCTTCTCCTTAACCCTCTAGTTAACTGGGAGGAGAATGAGCCCCTCCTTTCCAACCATCTCCGATTGCAGTTTCTTTGATGTGTTTATTGTCTTGAAACTGAAATTGTCAGCATTTTTCAGTGACAAAATACTAAGAAACTCTGCCTCCCCACTTTGTTTTTAACCACATATATAGGGCCTGGTAGAATTAGTGAAGCAAGTGAAGAGCCTGCCAGCTGTCAATTATAATCTGCTGAAATACATCTGTAGGTAAGTGCCCTTGCAAGAACATCACAGTGATATTTATAGCTGTTAGCTGACAGAGAAATTTGTTTGCATTTGGACTCTGAAGGAAAAGTATTACAGAACTGGAGGAGTGGTTAACTTCAGTGATGGCACTAAAAACCTGCCTACTGCACTCATTTCTCATTCGCTTTATCAAAATGCAGTTATAAGGTGACTTAATAAGCAAGCTGCCAAAAGTACAGAAGTGGATATATAGGTCCTCTTCCTAGGACACAGTTTTCCCTTTTATAATTGCAGTTATTGGCCTTAGCTGTGCACTCCTGAGGCATGGTAGCTCTGTAAACTGCAACATCTGGTAGAATAGTTTTGTAGAAATTAGCAGTATCTTAAAAACATGTCTTGAAAAGTAGCAAAGTGTGTAGCAAAGGATGTTCTTAGCATAGGAAACATTTGAAAATAAATTTAAACTTCTCCTAGTTGAGAGTTTGCATTTTGAGGATATTTTATGAGCCAAATAACTGATTGCGTATGTTAGAGAAAGTCATTGTCTTCAACAGGGTTATCTTAAAATTAGATCAGGGAGATATTTCTTTAACATTGTATCATTTTTAAGAAAATATGAAGACACTGAGTATAACCTGGAGCTTCCAAGATGTTCCTTCACAATTTAGAGTGGAATACTCAGACTACGTTAAGAAACCATTGCATGTTTTGATTATTTTTTTTCTTTCCTTCCTTTTAAAATGTTTGTTAAAGGCATATTTCTTCCTCACAGATTCCTGGATGAAGTCCAGTCTTATTCAGGCATAAACAAAATGAGCGTGCAAAATCTGGCTACTGTTTTTGGCCCCAACATCCTCCGCCCTAAAGTGGAAGATCCTTTGACTATCATGGAAGGTGAGTTGACTGTAAATAACTTGAAAGAGAACAAAAGAATATCTTTAGGTTTGTTAACAATTACTAATCCATGTGGTATATACACTACATTCTATGTCCATTTTAAAGACACAGAACTCTTCAGTGTGGATAGACAGCTGGGATAAATCTTCCGAGATACTATAAAAATGACTACAGTTTATAGCATTGCAAACAGACCTTGCATGAGATTGTGCTGCCTTGGCAGCTTAATTAAAAACTTTTTTTCCCCCTCTATGCTTGCTCCAAATATGGCATGTTCTTTCCCAGTACGTGTGGAATAAGTGCAGCTAACTGCATCACCTGCAGTTCTTAAGGGTCAGATATGTTTTCATAGATTGATATTGCAGTAGCCCATCATTCTCCATAAACTCACATGATCCCTTTTCTCTCTCCAAATACTTGTTTCCTAGTATGTTTGATTTAGTTAACCTACCCAGAAATAAGGGCTGTGAACAGTCCTTGCACTGTACATCGTATTAAAAACTTTTAGCTTGTTTATTTGGGATTGTGTGAATTTGTTTTCCTTTGAATATGATGTTTTTTCTTTTTTCCAGATAATTGTAATTCTCATAGACTTTGTTCATTTACTGTTTTATTCCCTTTTTCTGAAGCTTTACGTTTCATCCTCATCCTATTGTAAATGGACAGAAATGTAGTGTTTCCAAGACACATAATGAAAGAATCCAAAAATATTTCTAATTGTTCATTGGATTAAAAATACAGGGAAGTATCATAAAGATGACTTTCATCACTGGAGTCAATGAGAATCTCACTGAGGCTGAGACCCTCGATCTGTCATACCTGCCAGGATGGCATCTACTGCTGGGATACCGTGTATCTTCAGGCCACCTGGGAAAAAAGGAGGCAAATCAAGATTTGGGATGGGATGAGAGTAGTTAGCTAGTCAAAAAGGAGAAAAAGAAGTTATCCTCTGGGTCTGTGTTTTTTCAGAGCTGGCTACTGCCAGTATTTTATGTGAAAGCTTAAATGAGAAAGATGTTTTAAGTGGGTGGAAATGGAAAATACTGATTTTTTTTTTTTTTTTTTTTTTTTTTTTTTTAATGTCTGAAAACATCTCCAGACAGCTTCTCAACAGCCCACAAGCTTAGTGGCTGTTTTAGGAGGTGGCATGGATACTGTGCTCATTGAAGGGAAATAGTATATATTTTTTTTTCACTTGAGGAAACAGTTTTAACTAAACAGATTTATGACTTCTCATACTTCTCTTATAGAAGTAAACCTTTTAGAAGTAAACCTTTTAGATTTGACATGGACTGTGCTGATGTGCAGTTGGGCTGCTCATAGTTAAATACGCGGGATCTTTGTTAACAAAGACTACACATTGAATAGTGCCTCTGTCCAGCCTTCCTCACTGCTCTTTGCTTTTTGGAAGAGAAAGCTTGACAATGAAAAGTGCTCTTCTTGCATAGCCTTTTAAAGCCAAGCATGAAGCTATGTGCAGCCATATCTGTATAATGTGGATGAAAAGTTGTTTTGTCTAGTTCAAGTGAGATTTTCCTGACTTCCAATTACAGGCTAATTTGAATAATCTCTTAGTAGTTGTATTTTAAAAGGCTAGGTTATAAAAATCCGGAATATTTCAAAGGAGTTGATATGGCACAATGGGAAATTCTTGATTAAAAGGGCACAGCCTGCCTCTGAAAGCACTCTAGAAGTTTAAAGATAGGATGATTGTTATAAATACTCTGACCTTGTTCCTGAGAGATTCTTAACAGTACTTAGTGAGATTCAGTTTAAAGAAATAGTTGTATGTCTTCATTACCCTAAGTTCAGTTATTAATGGTAGTGTGTAAATTGTGCAGTCGAGCGATGTGCACACCAAGGGGTTATTAGAGAGGCAGCCATTTATTAGAGATACTTGGAAGTTGTGGTTCTGCATTAGTTCCATACTGTGCATGGAACATACATAACATGACACAGTTGCCTGTTTGCATGTAGTTTAACTACAGACAGGTTAAAAGCATTCACATGAAATAAATTCTGTCACATTATTACCCTGTTAGATCCCAAAGACTAAATTGTTGCTATTCCAACAGTGCAAATCCCTTGCCTGCCACTTTTCTTTTAAACTACTGCGTGAAAGTGCTTTGCCAGAAGGGGTCTTTGGTTTTAAAAATGATTGCCACAATAACTTGAAGCACATTACTCACATTGCTTATAATGACATTATCATTTGCTGCTCATAAACTCCTTCCGTAGTATTTCGGGGATGCAAAAACTGTCATGGCAATAGCGTCTTTGCAAAAATTGCTGTTATTATGGGGTCTGTGAGGAATGCTGGCTTGTTCTGATGGAAAGAAAAGGTGGTGCTGATCTGTCCTGGTATGCAGATGCATTTTGGACACCTTAAACATCCAGGGTCATTTTGGGTAAAAAAACCTGTGGTTATTTTGGGTAAATGTTTCTATAAATAGGATTTTTGCTAAGTATTTGTGGAATCTGAGCCATTAAGATTATTTATGCCCCAAACAGGTCATTAATTACCATGTGCTTACTTGGTACCTTCTTTCAGGTACGGTAGTAGTCCAGCAGTTAATGTCAGTGATGATAAGCAAACACGAAGAGCTGTTTCCCAAGGATGCAGACCCTGATGTGGGACCCGAAGTGTGCAACAATAACAATGAAGTGCCAAAGAAGGCAATCGTTGGACAACTACAAAACAAAGAGAACAACAACACAAAGGAGACAGCAGTGAGGCGCTGCTCTTGGGATAAACCTGAATCTCCCCAAAGGGGAAGCATGGACAATGAGTCTCCAACTGCGCTGCCAGGCAGCAAGACCAATAGCCCTAGAAACAGCATCCAGAAATTAGATGTCACCAGAAGCCCACCACTCACGGTGAAAAAAAATCCTGCTTTTAATAAAGGCAGTGGCATAGTCACCAACGGGTCGTTCAGCAGCTCTGTGGAGAGCCATGAGAAGAGCCAGACCTTACCAAACTGTACCCTGCAAGCCAGGAGGACATCCTCCCTGAAAGGACCGGTGACTAAGATGGGCACACAAAGCATGCAGAATGGAGGCGTGAGGATGGGAGTTTCTAGCACTGATGGGCTCACCAACACCCTCAACAATCGAAGCCCAGGCTGGGCACCCAATGGCTGTGTCACACTGAGGGACAACAAGCAGAAGGAATCAGTGAGTGAGTCGGGTCAGCACAACAGGCTCTCCACCTATGACAATGTCCACCAGCAGTTCTCCACAGTGAACTCTGATGACAAACAGAGTGTGGACAGTGCTACCTGGTCAACATCCTCCTGTGAAATATCCCTCCCTGAGCACTCTAACTCCTGTCGTTCATCCACCACCACCTGCCCAGAGCAGGACTTCTTTGCGGGTAACTTTGAAGACTCTGTACTGGATGGGCCACCACAGGAAGACCTCTCTAACACTGGTGACTATGAGAACAGAAGTGACCGAAGGAGTGTGGGGGGCCATAGCAGCAGAGCCACCAGCAGCAGTGATAACAGTGAAACGTTCGTTGCCAACAGTACTAACAATCATAGCGCTCTGCACAGCCTGGTGTCCAGCTTGAAGCAAGAGATGGCTAAACAAAAACTCGAGTATGAGACAAGGATAAAAAGGTAAGATGGAGTGGTGTTACCTTCTCATTTCTTTCAGAGTTGACATGTTAAATTTTTCTTCTAGTATCACGATTCAATTGGGTTTGTTGCAAAGCAATGCTTTGCCACAGTTGTGACATACTGTCCTAATGGCACCAGAAATAAATCCAGAACCTTACAAGTTTCTCTGGAATCTAACTAACAAAATCAGTAGCTTCCATAATGATTTCATTAGTTGACGCCTGCTCTTTGGAGGCTGAGACTTTCAATGAAATCAGTGTCTTAGATCACTCCAGCTGTAGTTTTGGGACTGTCAGACTATTCTTGTAAATAGATTTAAATCAGCTGATAAAAATCAGGGATTCAGAACATTATTTTGACCTCTTAAATGACACAATTACAACTACAGTGGGAACTGGGAACCAGTGCTTGCAGGAGTAAAAGACTTCCCTAGGTTGCTTGCTAGAGAATTGAGTGGAGCTGGTTGTCCCTGTGTGCAATAAACAGTGGCTGGTATCGTGCATTTTCTAAATGAGCTACAGAGTAGAGAAGGCCATTTGGGAATGGATTGCTGATGAAACTGTGCTTTGTAGGTAAACTTCTAAGAAATTCAATCTAAGCTTTGTAAATGAAAATGCAATTGAATGAAATTGTGATGGTGTGAATTTCTACACAACTGAATGGGAGGAGTGCTGTTCAGGAGCTGTCTGCTTTTATTTTGGTTTCTGCAGCTTGGAACAGAGAAATCTCACCCTGGAGACGGAAATGATAGCCCTGCATGAAGAGCTGGATCAAGAGCGGAAGAAGTTCACAATGGTGGAAATCAAAATGCGTAATGCAGAACGGGCCAAAGAGGATGCAGAGAAGAGGAACGACATGCTGCAGAAGGAAATGGAGCAGTTTTTCTCTACTTTTGGAGAACTGACAGTGGAGCCTCGCAGACCAGAAAGGGGCAACACCATCTGGATCCAGTGAGCATTGGAAGCTTTGACTGTGGGACGCTGGGAAAGGGCTTAGGGGTATTATACTGAGTCAGGTGGCTGGTCACCTGTCTGTCTGAGGCTAGCACTCAATATAATGTTATAGACTCTTGAAGGAAGAAATCGTACATGTTAACCACTCATATCTACAGTGTGTACTTATCAAGTCATACTCTTTGGATGCTTCATGAGACTACTGTCAAGTGTCACAACTGGATATGTGTATATAAATTTAAAAAAAAAAAAAAACATCTTAGAGAGTGAGAGATGTATCTCAAGAAATATTTTAATTCAAGTCTTGTATTTAAACTGGTAAATTGAAATGTTGTTGCAATCAAGCTTTATATCAAGGCTTTTCTCCCTTGCACTTAACATAAGCTATTTTTGACATTGTGTTACCATCAGCTTATTTTGTATATCAAATGTTTTTGTTTTGTTTTGTTCCTCCCTCTTGTTGGGGAGTGAAGATAAACAGATACATAAAGGTACATGTGCCAATGGTTAGCACTAGTCTGTGTCGCTTTTGAAAAAGAGAGCTGGATGAGAAGGAGCAGCATGCTGGGGATGGCAAATGGGGCACTAATTTAAGAGAACTGATGACCTGACTAAAAGTTACCAGAGCTCTCGTATCAAATACCCTATAAGGATATCACCAACATTGAGCAGTCAGTATTCAAAGAACAGAGAGGTTTGAGAGGAAATGTAATGGTAACGAGTAAGAAGGTGGGAGAAGGGGCAACTCAAAGAGAAGTTGATCTATAGAGCCAGAGCTTTTTGGGGTACTCTAGCACATCCCTGTGGTCACTGCAGCTCAGAACAGGGATATAAACCATGCTTTGACCACTGTTGTGACTGAATTACCCCAAGTACCACAGGAGTGTGGAATCCTTTCTGTAAGACTGGCAAAGGGACACACAGAGAGACGCACTGTGCATCTTGAATGCCTTAGCAATGTGATGGGTACTGAAGCAAAACAAAACAGAGACCTGCAGAACTGATGAGCAGAGGAGAAATTAGCAAGGCAACTGTACTACAAACTGCAAATAAGGAAGAACACATTAACCACCTATATTTACAGTGCATATTGACCAGCTAACCTTTCCGAGTTGAGACTTCTGTGAAGTGTTAAGCTGTGGAAACTCTCAGGATCATAACGTAATCAAGGGAACAGCCAGAGGAACTGCCTGCAGAGTGCCAACAAAAAGCAGCCAAGCTGTGCAGTGAAAGGCCAGCCTATTGGGAAATGTATGCATAGTAGGTGTAACTGATGTTTCCTATACCATCCACAAGACCTTTCCTGTTTTTATCTTTAAGACTGTGAGTTGTATCTTCAGAAGTTGTTAAGACATCTTGGGTTCCCTCTACTGTCACTCAAATGTATTGCAATTATCACTGACCCCCTGTTGAGATCTAAGAATGTAGCCTCAAAGAGGTGCTCTCTGCAGCATGTGCATTAGATAAATACTGATTAGATGTGGTAAGTATACGGGGCAATAAATATGAGGTTTACATTTCAGGAAAATAACAGCTTAGAGTGGAGCATTACACGTGGTGTTCGTGGAACAATTATTTGTGTTATCTTGGGTTCAGAGGCCCAAGTTAGGACGGTAATTACTGTAAACATGTCTAGTGCACATCCAGTTTGGATGCAAATGAGAAAAAGACAGAAATCAAGATAATAGGAAGGAGAATGTTTTGTGTTGGCTAGCCACAATCACAGATGTTGGCGCAAATGGTGAGAGAAGGAAACTGTTTACTGTGTTAATTCTGATTTTTAAACTGAATGACAAAGATTGTGGTATCTGATGTGGGCCTCACAGTCAGCTGAGGCTCCTGTTTAGCCCTGCTCATTTTGATGATGGTTCCTGGATAAATTTGAAACCTTTCTTACTGCTGCTGTGATCTATTCCTGTACTTTACTTCCTAGTATTCCTATCACTCAACTCATGCCACGGTGATCTGTTTCTTGGAGCTGAACCTGCACAGAGTTTTTCTTTGGGTTAAGCTGTCTTGTGGTTGAGGACCCTGTATTGGTTCAATAAAATATCAGACAAGTTCACTGCAGCTATACCATTTAAAATCAACTCAAACTGTGTTGAACCATATTCTTCCAAGTATCTTTGAATGATTTTTGGAAACTTGTGTTAGGCAGAATCTGTTAATGTCCAGGTTTAAAGCTTGTCTTTACCTTTGGAAAGATATTCCAGTAACTGTTGTTCAGTTCCTCAAGGAATTTTCTGTTTCCAGTTATGTGGCTTAGTGCTGGTATCTTTTGTTTCTTGCAATGCAGTCCAGGACAACAAAGCTTCACCTCATTCTCTGCTCAGAAATTATCTAGGCAGAGCAGAAAAATTAAGCAGGCACAGTGAACATGGAAAATATTACCAATAACATGTCCACTGCCATCGTGATCAATTCACAGCATTACATCTTTCTCTTCTGTGTGAAGCTTCATTAGCATTTTGGCTGTGGTGATGAAGTTGATTTGCATCCTTAACAGTCATCACGATGCTCCTATTATCATCCAGCTTCTTCAGATTAAAAGCACACATTTCAGAACTGTTTCTTACATTGAGAAGCAAGTAATAGAATACTTCCAGCATTTGACATGAGTTGACGTGGTTGGCAGAAGCAGTGCTGGGAGAGCATGATAATGGATGTAGGTGGCAAAGGACAAAACCTGCTCCTTTTCATGCAGTGGAGTAGAGAGGGTCAAGGCATTCAGAGGACTGAGGTCAAAGCTATTTGAGCACAAAGTCTCTAAAAACAACCACGGTAATTTCATGCAGAGTACTTGTTGACTGGTGGTTATCGTGTGGAAGCAATTCTTCCAGGAAAGTTGGTATCGAGGTACTTGAGTGAAACTGAGGCTTCAGTCAATAATCCATTTTGTCATTTGTCTATAACGGAATAAGTCATGTTCTAAGGCCAAGCTGACAATGTTACCTGACATGAGAGCGCACGCAGAGATTTTCAGCTATCAGTTATGAGATGGTATAATGGTCATTTGCTTTCACCTCTCTCTTGCTGTATTTCTGTGCACTTCCCATATTAATAATGTTTGTGGGAGTTCAGCATTCAGCTCCAAGATGGGAGTACAGCAAGCAGTTCAGCCCGTCCAGCCCAGTGCTACTCTTGGTCTCTCCTTCACTGTGCAATAGGCAATGCTTTTACAGTTCATCAGCACAGCCTGCAGAAAAAAATTCCTCCTAGGAACTAATGACCTTCCGCTCCAATCACAGGGGATGACTGCATAACATTACATTCATTAGTGTAAGTTCAGAGCAGTACAGACATAAAAGCAGGCTACCAGGATGCTTCAATCAATGCGCATAGTAAGCGACAGAACTAGGTTGGTGCTGTAATCTCATCTCCAGCCCCCAGCAGAAAACAGTAGTGGGTGATGTTGCCCTACACAAGTTTGCTGAATTAACCAGATTGGTGGCAGATGCTGACAATGCCTTATAAATGCTGGATTCTCTTGTGCTCAGAATGGCTTCTGCCTTCCTTTCTGTTTGTAAGAATCCCTATTTGAAGTGTGCTGTGGCGTAACAGGATAATTAAGCTTAATTTTATTCTTGGCTAAATGTTTTTTTCAATGTCTCACAGAGTTTTTTGCAAATATTAAAATTAATACATAAAAGATTTTCTGTTAAATGATATGCAAAGCAGCTATTTTAGGTTTTCATAAGAATTTGGAGGAGAGGAACTTCATGAGATTACTGCTGAAAGATCTGTGAGCAGCATTTTATCCAGTAGCGAGAGTGTACAGTAGCTGAGAAAGATCCAACTTGCTAGAAAGAATGAATATTTTCTGGACTGTGTAAATGTGAGGGGAAGGTGGGAGAAAAGATAAGAGCATGGGCACTTCTGATGTGGACATGCAAAGCTGTAGTAAACAGGAGAGGAGGAGAACAAGGGAGCAAATAGACATGAAATTGCTGTGTGTAGGCGATAGACATGTGCCCTTGGTTAATAGCATTTCTTCTGAAAGATCATCTCTACAGAAAGGTTACCAAAGTTAATGTTGCACTGTTTTTTCTGAGATTTTTTTGGCTCTAAATGGCTTTCTGTGCAGACACCATTAGCCAGACTGTTTCACGGGCTGCCTTCCTGGCTGCTGGCAGCCCCCCATGCTAATGTTGAGGATTGATGAGGAGAAATATGTGGCAGAGCAGCTGCCTGCAAAGCAGGGAGCCTCAGGAAGTCAGAGCAGCACAGCTCTGGGGGCTGCTAATGGCCCCCAGACCATCATTCTGCGTCTCCAGACCAGCAATTCTCAGCAAATAAAATTATATGCAGCAGATTCCCTGTTGATATCAACTGCCACGATTCTACAGAATGTCTATACTTGGGAAGTGATAACAGCAGCAAAGGTCAAGTTCCTACTTGGCTTTTAGGTGCTGTTATAATGCATGTATTCACTGTTAGTGATGGTAGCTCTGCTGCCAAAATGCTTGTCAGCAACAAAACAAGTGGCATGTCAATAATAGTAGAGCAGAGAAAATTTGAAGCCAGAAAAATGAGTGTGATGCAAATCTGCTTCCCCCACCCCCCCCCTTTTTTTTTCTCCAAGAAATGCAGGATAATGAATTTTGCACGCAATACAACTTCATTTATGAATCTCCTGAATGTGAGAATGGAAAATCTCTCTGCTTCTGTATTCTTCTCTTCATGCTAAAGAGGTTTAAGATGATTTATATTCAGCAGGACTTTACTGGATTTGAATCTGTGATGTTAGAATACTATTATGAGCATGGCTATAATTCCTAACTGTAAGGCAAGTGGGAAGGGACTTGGATTGAGACCAAATGGGTATCTCTGAGCAGCAGTATTTCCTGTTGTTCAGATATGGACGGCACTCTTTGTTTTCTGGTCATAGCAGTTAACTGTAACAATTAGATAAATTTATGGCTTTATTTTTTGTGTTCCCCTCTTTTTTTTAGGGTCAGATTGCTGAATCATAATCTACAGTTCAGTAGAAATAATGGCTACAGTTGTTCAAAGCAGTGTTTGCAAATAAGTTTTTGCATACTTCATAGCAGAAAGTGCTCTCTTAGTGCTCCCTCTCATCACTGCTAAGATTGTTTCTATTATTATTATATCAGATACATCAGTGGATGGTAGTTTTAACAGCACCTTCTTTATATTGGGCTGAACTACAGCACTTTGGTTTTGGCAGAACGGGATGATTGTTGGAGTGAGACTCAAAGATCCTTATGGTTCCCTTCCAACTCATTATATTATGCGATTGTATGATGTGGTGCTACCTCTTCCTGTAGCCACTTTTAACCCAGACTCAGCACCGTGGTGAGGTTTTACTTAATTCATTCTGGCAAATGTGCATTTTGTGTTATATCCAGAGCTCACTTAGGAAGGTGTGTGAAACAGCTTCAGATTCATACCTGTCTGGTTCCATAATGGTTTCCATGTGTAGACATGCCTTAATAGTGCATGTGGGTAATGAAGGAGGTATTTGTATAATTTAGTATTAATAGTGAATATATCACAGTTGACTTAATTGGTATTTGTCTGGCTGGCTGAAGGGACTTGCATCAAAGGAAGCTGTAATGGAAAGTGAGCAGAGTATGAACCATGACAAAAACGAAGCATCTCTGGAGGCAATTCCACAGGCCCTTAGGAGAACAGTTCATGAACTATTTATTCATCTGTTCCTGTGCTGCCAGCCAGGCCTGTTTTTCCCAGAGCCAATACTCAAGATCAAAAACACACTCAGCTATTATAAACCTTGCCTGTTGAGGGATGAGGTGGAGCACTGCTATGGGACTGATGGAGGGGGAACTTCTGAGTAAAGATGGACAGCTGTCTATACAGGGAGCCAGCAGGAGTCTGCTGCAGCAGAGCCTAATGTTTTGGTGCAGACTGCCAGCTCACACAGCATCCACTCAGACAAGACAGAAGCTAGTGTTTAAGGTGGGACTGCCCTTCTCGCGTAGCTGAGGAGTGTCACTGATTAGCTGTGGGGGCCAGGATCTGAGGCTAGCTGGTCAGGCTGGGAGGTCTAAACATTGTTCAGGGAACATGTACTGGTCATAACACTGCTCCCTGCACAGCACAACCATGCATATCATTCTTCTGGAAACTCAGCAGACAAACCAAGAGCTGTGGTTTCCCATGCTGGCTGCATTCCTCCTGTTCTCTGTGCCAACACACACATAACTGCGATCAGCTGTGGGGAGCCTTGGTCCTGGAGCTGTGCCCTACTCCTGAGCCAGGACGGTTTACTACCTGGAGGATTGCTTTCTGGTTTGGTTTAAGGTGCTGCTGAGTTTAAACTAGCGTTCTGCAGGTGAAAGTGGTGACAGCACGTGCTGTGGATTCCCAATGTGACGGCTTTTTGTTTCCTGACAAATAGGTTATGCACAATTTTTAAGACGATTTAAATTATCTGTGTTTTACTTCTGTGTTGAGTTTTACTGTTAAGCAAAGGGGGAAAAGGAAAACGAAAACTCAGCTGTGGTATCTTTGCATGGGTTTAGATACGCTCTCTGTTTTGTGCAAACTTCAATTCCAGTGCACTGTAATAGAACCATAATGACATGTTGAAACATGCCTTGGGTAAGTCATGCTTCTCAGTATGCTGGTCCTGGTTTTCAATACTTTAATTAATCTAGATGTTACTATGATGAGCCAAATACACTGCAACTCACAAATGCAATAAAAAGTCACAGGTTGGAAGGAAATTAATGCCCGTGTTGGTGAATAGACATAAAAACTATAGTTGCAAATACTGATTTCCCTCTTAGGAATTAAAAAAAAAATGGAAAATAATGGATTGTGACCACTAGGTGCAAATTCTGCATTGATTTTGAAATAAATTCTTCAGAAGAGGGATACAGAGTAAGTAGGTGTGCATTGAGCACTGAAGAACGCATCAGCAGAATGACTTTGATTTGGGCTGGGAAGATGGAGTCAAACCAAGAGAAGGTTTTGGTTGAGCAGTAAAATTCTGCTAGTAAAATACAGTGAGGTTTGGAAATGAAGAGATACGAGGTCGAATGGAAGCACAGGTTTCCCTAATTTACACAGGGCCTGACTCAATTCTCTAAGGTTTTATTTAGATTCCGGG